TGACGAATGGAGTGTTTAAGCATGAAGTAACAGCATTGGTCAGGCAGGATATTTTTCTAACAAACAAAATGGCGGGGGGGGGGGGTTGGGATGATGGTTGAGGCCAACTTTATACATCAAAGAGAGGCAGAAAAGGATAAAACACCATTTTGTTTTGTTTTATCTTGCAATTTATCCCTAGGCTGCCATAAAAACAAAAAAAGTCCTTTGAATCCATATTCAGAAAAGGGTTTGAAATATTGCCTGGCAAAGGCAACAGCCCTTTCCTTGAATGACTTATACCAGATATTTCTGTCTCTGTTTCCAAATCAAGATTAACTCCATTCTGACTCTACCTCATGGGCAACCAATTTAAAATCCAAGTGCTAGTGTGATTCAAATATTGCATCAATGAACTATGCTCAAATTCACACTGTAACCAAGTAAATTATCTTCCTTTTTTATTTTCATCTACATTCCTAGGGACCTTGTTAAGTTTTTGTAAGTCTGATTTTACCACCATTTTCCATTCACGGTTTTCTGTCCTTGCTGGGGTCTTTGCCCTGCACACAGAAAGGTCATTTCAGAACCTAATTAGCTGACATGTCAATTTGCCTTGCTCCCTGAATTCTTTACAATTTATCTCAAAGCCCTCTTAAAGAGGAAGCTTAGTTCTTAAATCCTTTTACCATTAACTTTGCTAGTGAAAACAAAGACACAAACAGGTGAATGCACATGATTTGAGAAGAAATTAACTAAACCTACAATTTCCATGCTAAATACCCCTGAACTACTCAGTGTAAGAGGAACCTTCAGAACATCAATTTTAACAATACCTTTATTATTTTTCCTTTTCAAAACATGTTTTTTGTCCCCTGAAGTTCCATTGTTCAGCTTCCAATCAGTGTGATGCCAATGCCGTGCAGTCACAACTACTAGGAACACCTGGAGCAATGGTTCCGGTGTTGAGGGCAAAATTAGGTGACTCGTTTTTATATTATAACGTAAAATAAAACCTCACAGCAACTGGGACACAATCAGTGGGACTTTTTAGAATGTAAAAGGTACACAGAGGGTCATTTTCTCTTAATGCTGCTATCTGGAGCATTCAGCATGCAGCTGTATAGGGATAACTTATTTAGAAGAGAGAGAACTTTCTGAAATTCTCCTTTCACAAAGGTCAAGTTACCAACTTTATACAATGCTCTATCATCAACAATAGTGCCTTGTCAAATGCCAGGTAGGCAGTTTATAAAATGTTTCAGATAGTTTAAGAGCAGAGCTAGAGATCTATATTGAAAGTGTATTAATGTGGAGATTTAAAGACATAGAAAGCATTAAAATGAGAGACAAGTGGACGCTTTGTCAAAACCATCTATTTGCTAGAGAGCATGAAATCTCTGTTGCTTTCCAAGGCAGGAATATAAATGTGTATTTATGAGCTCTATCATCCCAACATTGCTAGAATATGAAGTCACTCTTAAAATGATGATATTACTGATGAGACTATCATTCATGGAGAATCTGTACACTACTGTTTCAACTCTGTGAGACTAAAAATCCCTTGAGCTACAGTATGTCCAGTAGAACAAGCATAAATTTAACAGGATATGTACGTTGATTTTTAAGAAATCAAACATGACTAGAAATGGGGAAATGCCCTTTACGTGTCATTTACACAACAGAATACCCCACAGGCTGCCTCTTAGCTGTGCAGTCACCCTGCTTTGCCTTACCCATATGAGTACCCCAATGAAGTCAATGAGAATATTTGTGAGCAAGACTAATCCCTTGATGTACAATTCCATTGATTGGTGATCACTTTGCTCTGCTCCATGAAAAAACAGCCCCTGCCAATCTCACACCTTGGAAAGAGTCAACACATCCTACCCACTACATAAGAGAGAAGGAAGCATAAATACAGGAAGACACTTAATAGATAATTACATAATCTTACCTCTACACATCCAGCAGTGCATCTGAAGGGATGGAGATATGGCACTTTAATTTTGAAGGTGCCCATATACTGTGTGTTAACAAGAAAGTACGGGTTCACAATGTAAGCACAGTGCTTATCCTTCGCATTAATATGAAGCTAAATGAGTTCCTTGATATGTTTTTCAGTAAAATAAAGATTCTTTTTATAGACTCCTAGCAAAATCAGTAGAATACTTGTTGGTAAACATCTTAATTAAGAACTCAGGCTACATCCAAGTCTATTTTATTTTTATTTTCAAATAACCACTTCCTCCCTCTTGCTCTCAGATAAAAACACCAGTCTTTAGCAGAGCTGAACAGATCAATTTGAGGAGCCCACATTTCTTCCATCATCTAGAGTAACTTTATGTTAGCACAGTATACCCTGGCTACTAATTACATAGCCATTATAATGAACATATTTGGACTCCTTGTTGAGGATACAATCAATGCAAAGATGACAGTTTTAGACCTATCCAAGAAACATTTTCATCAATTCAGAAAGAAGCTCAGTTACTTAGAGAACAGTCAGCCAGAATGACCAACGTGTTACAGAATCTTTACTGGACAGTGCAACAGGTAATGTGGGGGAGAACAGACCCTACACTAGGTCAGCCCCAACTGGGCTTCAAACCAGACGTCAGTGTCACTGTTCAGCATAAGATTAGCTAGCTCCTAATCATCCCTAAAACAACAATGGAGTTTTAAATGTCAACAATTGTAAGTATTGCACACCATGTCCCCAATTTGAACTCCAGAGCACGAATGACATCAATAATTCTTATCACTCACATAACACTTTTTTCAAAGCACGTTATAAATACTATTTGCTCAGGGCTTACACAGCCCCTGTCAGGTAGGTAAGTATTGTCCACATTTTTGAGATGGAGAAACTGAGATAGATTTAAAATGACAATGTGAGTCAGCAGTAGAGCCACCGATAGATTCTGGGTATTCCTGGCTCCTATCCCCACAATCAGTCCAGTAGATAACACTGCCTCCTGCTATTCCCTCAGACCATTCGTCATCATTTATTAAGTCACAACTGTATGCTCAGTGCTGTACAAGACCAAGATACTTAATCAAATTCAAAGCAAAGGTTTTTTAATTTTATATTAAAGTATCAGACTAGAACACTGTATATGCAAAACAAAATTGGATTGTCAACAATTTATCACAGAAATTTTCATTTTGAATTGTTGGGCCAACTTTTTTTGTGGGTGACATGACTTGCTTCAATGCCTTCTAATAACGCTATTCCCTCTATAATGTCTCCTACGAGCAAGGTAAACATTATATAAGTATTCCCATTAAAATTCCAAAATGTTTAATCTAATCTGTCCACAAAAACTAATTTGATGTTTGTGTGATATTCTACAGACTGCACTGTCAGAATATATTGATTTGGTATAGAGATGCAGGGGATGTAACAGAGATGCCTGACATTGTCTCTGAACCACATTCATTCAAAGGATGAGAAAGAATATCTGTTGCATAGGTTCAAATTTACTATGTATTCTGGCCAATTTACTACTTCCTGTCTGTTTTAAGATGGACATTTCTATTGTGCTTTAAAAGAAAGCAAGGCCAAGGGCCAAGGATCAAAATTCTTTTTCTAAAAGTAACTGCACAATAGTGAAACTTAAAACAGCTTATACTCATCTGCAAGAGGAAAGATACATTACAAGAAAATAAATATTTTGTCAAAATTAACACCACACTAATTTTAATAAATTCAAGAAGGAAATTTGTTAGAGCTCAAAATACCATCATTCTGGAATTTCCAAAGGAAAAAAGGCATTCCCAGCAGCACTTCTCAGAAATCTGTCTTACTTGTTTCTTCTCCTACCTGAAGCTTTTGCAAACGTTCCTCAATGAGTAACTTTATTTCCCTATGGTCCCTATGGCACTGGTAGTGATGTGAGGTGCAGCAGTCTAAAATATCCATCATATAGTGCAAATATTTCAGATAAATAATTTAGGGGCAGGAAAGTGCTTCCTATGAGTGTTCACTGAATATTAAGCAAAAAACAAACAAACAAACAACACTTCAGAGTGCCATTAGCTTCTCTTCTACACTAAAAAATAATTAAATTAAGATCAACTAAGTCAATTTTAATTGACCAATATATCCCATAAATGTTCTAAAATGACATGCAAACTAATTAAACAATTAATTTTTAGACTCTAGTTCTTTTCCTCCCTGCCCCACCCCCACCCCCCACGTGATCTCTCTGAATTTCTGCTGGGACATTGACTCTTCTTTCATCTCTCCAGGACAGCCCTCTAACAGGTCATCCATCTTCCCCATGCCCTCTCCCTTGTGATGTTGTCCTTCATCTTTGTTTTGCATCATCTCCTCCTCCTGTATTTTAGATTTTCTCCTGCTGAATGAAACTGACTGCAGAACTGGCAAAGAGGGCTTTTTGGAGACAGGGCCGGCTCCAGGCACCAGCTTGCCAAGCAGGTGCTTGGGGCGGCCACTCTGGAGAGGGGCGGCACGTCCAGCTATTCGGCGGCAATTTGGCGGACGGTCCCTCACTCCCGTTCGGAGCGAAAGACCTCCCGCTGAGTTGCCGCCTCAGATCGCGATCACGGCTTTTTTTTTTTTTGCGCCACTTTGGGCGGCAAAAACCCTGGAGCCGGCCCTGTTGGGAGAGAATCTCTGGAAGCCTTAAAGGAGAATTGCTGGTTTCCTGGAAATTATTAGGAAAATCTAAGGGGGGGAGGGTAGGATTTTGTGCCAAAAGCTGTAGAGAAAACAGCGTGTGAAAAGACAGGAAAGCAAGGACATGCCAGCTGTCTATCTGTTAAGAGAGTGGCCTTCCAAAGCATAAACTGGTACTTAAAATTGAGCCTTTTGTGGAAACTCCAGGAAAACAGAAAGATCTAGGATTGTGCTGAACGCTTTGCTATAACAACACGTCACAGAATGCCTTTCTATATTAGCTAACTAGAATGGAAAAAAGAAATTTACCAATTGATCTTAATCTGCTCTAACCACAAAATGCCAAATTCCAAGAGTCACTTAAAACCAAACTTACCTGTATAGGCCATGTTCTTAGGGTTTCCATAGGGAGCCCCAGGTTGAACAGGGCTGTAAACAGGATTCATTGTGGAAGACTGAGAACTCTGGAGGAGAAAGAAAGAAAGAAAAAAAGAATTAAGAAGACAGTCTTATTTTTCTTCAACACTAGTCCTCTGTGAAAGGTCTTTGCTTGTACTACATGCTAGCGCTGCCATGTTATTATTCAAGACGCACTAAGCTGCAAAGAAAAAGATTTACAATTAGGCATTATAACTAGATAGTGTATTTAATAATTCAAATTTCAGATCCTTCCATTAATTCCCTTAAATTCTTCACCATTACATGTCCTCCCTACAAAGCATCTGGAGTGTAGCATAAAATTAGTCTTACACAGCCTCACCTTCCAAAGGGTTTTGCAAATTGTTCCTGAGCAAAGGAAAAAAATCAGGATCCTGTTTCTACTGCACAATGGGTACAGAAAGTAAAGTGCAAAACCTGCCGTAATTCAGTTACCCCACTAGGGGGAGCTAATGCTTTTTGGGTCATGAAAAAAACCCCCAATGAACAACAAGCCTCTCAAAGATAAAGTTGGTAAAAGAGCACTCCCTGCTGGTGATGCTAAGAGCTGCAGATACCCAAATTCTCAAGCAGTTTACAGATTGCCTCTATGAACACAACAACCTTGTGCCTGGAAATTAATCTCCTTTGAAACCTCTTTTAAAAGACCAGCCTTAACATTGTTCCTTCACAGCACAGTGTACTAAGCTATTATTTATGGGACATCAGTGTGCACGCAGTGCTATTTGAAATCGCCAAAGTCACTGCCCCAGACATAAAATGGCCAGTAAGATTTTTAATTGCATTTCTGCTCATTATCTCTCTAATAAAGATGATTAAAGAGAGCCAGGTTATCTTTTCCTAAGCTTTTATTTAGAGGAAAGCAAGGGACCTGGGAATTTGTGTCTAGTAACTGTCAGTTAAGCAACTGCTCAGTTAATTAGCTTAATGAAGCACATTCTCAATTCTGATTAATGGAAAAATCAGTCATTAAGCTTTATTAGGCAACACATTTGTCTCTACAGCTATCTTGTGACAATTTCAAACATGGAGCCCACCACACTTACTTTAAACTGTCTTTTAAAAAATCTATTATTTACACTTCATAAAATAAAACCATTCCTTTCAAACTAGTCTTTCCTGATTGATGTGCAATTTGTTAGATCATTAACTCCTTCAGTTTCACCTCAGGACAGTAAACAAGTCAAATGTTAAATGCTAGCAACAATTGGTTTGACAACAATTACTGCTTAATTAATTAGCCTTCCCTCCATTCCCAAGTTAGCCCACAATTCTGTAACAAAAGGAAGACCAGGGATGCCAAACATGCCAAAGGATAACACTACAGAATCCAAATAAATGTATTTACAACGCTGACTGGAATAAGTAAAAGCCAAAGTGGCTTCAGAAATACACAATGGAAAGTTTCTTAAAAAGATCAACAAGTAACATAATTGCAAAAACCTACTTATATGAAACGGATTCCTGGGGATTTGCCCAGAATGGTCAGGACAGAGTTTATGGTTCCCATAGTAATTGGCACTTGCCCCTCTTGCTCTCAGCCATCATTGTGTGTTACTGTGGCTATGGTCTACATTTAAACCACTATAGCAGCATAGATGCAGCTGCACTACTGTAGCATTCAGTGTAGACACTCACTACAGCGATGGAAGTAGTTCTCCTGTCACTGTAGGTAGTCTACCTCCCTGAGAGGTGGTAGCGCTGTCTACACCAGGGGTTAGGTCAACTTAAATATGTCGCTCAGCAGTGTGGGGTTTTTTTCACATCTAGGAGCAACACAGCTGGGTTGACCTAATTTTTTACAGTGTAAACCTGACCTATATTATAGGGGCACAGCAGCAGTACTAGAGTTAAGGTTGCGTCATGACTTCTCTTTAAAAGTCAACCTTTCTAAAATCTCTTAAGCTGACAGGCTTAGTTGGATTCCTTTGAAATTTGCTTTGCTTCAGGAGGGTGCAGCGTAGGGTTAGTGACCCAATGTGGGGTCTTTTGAGCAGGGTTTGCGATGATATAAGCCCTGAAAAAATAGCCATTTTCCAAAAAGTTTCTAGGTGGGTTTCTTTCTTTTTTGCAGAGGAAATGATCAAACTATTTATATGATGCAGGTCAAGATGGTCCTGCATTTTATCAACTTTTTATCCAAGGTAGTATATGGCACTTTAACTCTTGGGGGGATCCAAACTGAAAATGGTATTTTAGAAAATGTATTTTTTACCATGCACATGCACCAATAGAAAAAAAAATGGCTAGAGGAGAGCTTCCACACTTGGTGCTTTATCATCAACAGTGAGAACAGTGCACTGTGGGTAGCTATCCCACTGTGCTACTCACTACCTTCTGCAGCCAGGACTTGTGGGAAGGCAGAGTGGATCGCAGCACATCATGGGTGCAGACTCAACATCTCACGATAATGTTTTTTCATCCCAGCATTCCATGGACTTCCGACTGCGTTTTGCGACATTTTTCAACAACCCGTTTACTGTGTGCCCGCCATCTGTGTCTGAAAGGATGGATCCAGCACTGTTCTCTGCTGTTGTGGTCACTGTTATGGACATATCGCATCTGGTCATGCAGTATATCATGAGCACCCAATCTGAAGAGGAAACAAGCACTGAGTGCTGGGATCGCATTGTTATGCAGATCTGGGATGATGAGCAGTGGCTACAGAACTTTCAGATTCGGAAAGCCACCTTTCTGGAACTGTGTGCAGAGCTCGCCCCAGCACTGCAGCGCAAGGACACCAGAATGAGAGCTGCCTTCTCAGTGGAGAAGCGCGTGGCTATCGCTGTGTGGAAGCTGGCGACTCCGGACTGCTACCGGTCGATCACAAATCAGTTTGGAGTCAGGAAGTCGACCGTTGGGGCTGTGTTAAGTCAAGTGTGCTGGGCCATTAATCACATCCTGCTACGAAGGACCATGACTCTTGGCAATGTGTGTGAAATAGTGGATGGCTTTGAGGAAATGGGATTCCCTAACTGCGGAGGGGCGATAGATGGAACGTATATTCCAATTTTGGCACCAGACCATCTTGCGATGGAGTATGTCAATAGAAAGAGGTACTTCTCTATGGTGTGCTTGTGGATCACCGCGAGTATTTCACTGACATCAATGTGTGGTGGTTCGGAAAGGTGCATGAGGCACGCATCTTCAGGAACGCTGGGCTGTACAGACTAGAAGATTCCAATGGGGGATGTTGAAATGCCCAGAGTGATCCTGGGAGACCCAGCCTACCCCTTATTCCCATGGCTCATGAAACCTTACACAGGAAACCTGGACAGCAGCAAGGAGCGCTTCAACAGTAGGCTGAGCAGGTGCAGAATGACAGTGGAATGTGCCTTTGGCAGATTAAAGGCGTGCTGGTGCTGCCTTTATGGCAGGTTAGACTTAAATGAGGAAAACATTCCCATGGTCATAGCAGCCTGTTGCACGCTCCATAATATTTGTGAGGCTAAGAGTGAAAAGTTTCCCCAGGGGTGGAGCACTGAAGCAGGTTGCCTGGCTGCTGTTTTTGAGTAGCCAGATACCAGGGCTATTAGAGGGGCACAACGGGGGAGATGTTAGAATCAGGGAGGCTTTGAGGCAACATTTTGATAATGAGCACCAGGAATGTGTACTTCTATACAGCAATCTGCCATGCTTCATTAACTTCAGTTATCTTGTTTTGCCTAAAAATTGTGATGATTCCTGAGTGGGATTTGTACTAAGTAAATGATTAAACTGCACCTATATATTAATACCCGCACCCAATACTACATGTAGGAACAAATAAAGATTGGTTCTCTTTCACAGAGTTTGTTTTTATTAAACATCAATTAACACATACAAAAGGCTTGGTGGGAAGGGAGATAACAGTGAAGGCTCTCAGAGCTGTGCATAAGCCCAGCTATCATTTTGGAAGCCATCCGAAAGGGTGGAGTGAACGGTGTACTAGACGTGCTGGGAAGTTTCACAGAATGTGTGGGAGGAGTTCGGGAGGGCATTGAAAACAGTTCTGTATTGGCTGCAGAGGGAGTGGTGAGCACGCATCTGTTCCGACTGTAGCGTGATTAGGGACTTCAACATCGCTGTTGGTTCCTCCATCACTTTTATCATCCGCTCGTGGCCCTTTAGAATGCACTCCTCACTCTCATTTCTGTCCTGTCTTTTCCTTTTCTCTCCACTCCCTGCATTCTCTTTTTTCAGCCTCTGAGGATTGCAGCACCTCTCAGAACATGTCCTCCTTCTTCGCCTTGGTTGCCTCCTTATATGACAGAGGCACTCCAGCAGTGTGTAGGGGGTTCCCCTGAAGGCCACATCTACAGGAGCACAAGAAACAATTCACAGAAGCATGATGGTTAGTTCATGCACAGCATTCAATCGTTACAGTAAAATACACCTCCTGTAACATACCAATCACTTTCTCAGTGACCCTTGGTAAGCAAATATTTTGGTGAACACCCTAAACATGGTGAGTTAGGCCTGAGTGGGGGGTGGGCATTCAAGATGGGGCAAGGGTGTAGGTGATGTTTTCAGGGGATCAGTGAAGGCGACTATGGACAATATTGTAAATTTTGCCACCATTTTCCATAGGCGGGGGTCATTGAAACCGATATCTCGCTCCTGAGGGCAAGCAAGGACGTAAGGGTGCATCTACTTCACACGTGTGGGTTCAGACTTGGTACTTATATTGCTCGCCTGTGTGCCGCCTTGGTCCTTGCACAAGTGATTGCCGAGTGGCACGGAAAAGTATCCTACAATGAGGGAAGGAACAAAGCAGTTCTGCAAAAGAACCTTCAGCAGAGGATTGGCGAGTACCTCCAGGAAAGTTTCCTAGACATCTCTCTGGAGGATTCCTGTGAAATCTTGGTGTGCATTAACACACTGTTCCGCTGCACTGCTTAGCTACACAGGGGAACATGGAGCACACACAAACACAGCTAGTCCTGTACATTTCTATCCCTTCACCCTCTTCTACAATACACAGAGCAAAGGACAGCTCTACCTCATATAACCAAGCAGCATAAAGATCACTTACCAGGGCTCTCCG